GCTGAGACAGCTGGCAGCAGATTAAGAAAGGTCCAGGTAGCAAAGGTTCAAAGATGACATTCAGAGGTCCGGGCTGGTCTGTGGAAGAGTGGTGGTGTTGCCAGCTGTGGCAGGGCACCTTGAAGCTTTAGTTAGTAACTTGAATACCTTTCACAGGTATGTCTTCATTAGGTGTTTTCTCTGCTTTACTTATCGCTTGACTAACAACAGATGAGTTTTTGAGAGAGAAGTATTTTAATGAGAAAGGTGAAGTTATTTCTGTACATTTTTAATAGTACCAGAAAAAGTCCAGGAGCCTGTACTGAGCCCTGGTGTGCAGAAATGAGACTATTGAGGAAACTGATTTCCTCAACAGAAGATTTTTTTCTTGTTTTCCAGAAGAGAAGGAGAAGCTCTCTGAAGTTTCAGTCTTTCTGGTTGGAGAGCCGCTTACTTGCGGCAGAGATTTGAAGCAGCCCTCACTATGATAACGTGAAGATGAGAAACAGCCCGCAGACGCCCTTCCATAAAAGCCAAGAGAACGACAGCCGGTAACAGCCCAGCCAGCACTGCAGCCCCGAGGGCTTGGTGGTAAACACTACAGCTTTTAGCACTGAAAGTCTCATCTGCGCTGATCTTGTGGCTGTATTCAGATAGCTCTGAAGCGGTCACGCAGCAGCTGTGCTCCACCTTGGTCAGCCTGGGTTGCATCTGGCTGGGAAAAAAAATGCAGAGGGGAAAATAACCGAAGCAGTAGGAAGAGAAGTAACAATAAAATGGACCAGATTCAGCTATGATGAAAGAACGTGAGGCTTGCGGGGCACGAGTAGCCCACTCCAATTTAATGAAAATACAAGCCGTGAAAAATACGGGGAGATTAGCGTGGTGAGTCAGTGGCTGAAGGGCCTGTTCGAGGCTGACTGTGACAGTCTTACTCCTCAGCAGACAGGGCTGCAAAAGGAAAAGACAGGGAAACAGAACTTGTTCTTTAGCAATGCCAAATTAAGTTATTGTTTTTCAGCAATGGATATCATCATTAGGGAAATTTCACTTTTTTATCCTCTTAATATATCTACACAGGAAGATTTTCTAAGGGGAGGGAAGTGCTTACACTGTTAGAATACAATGTAAGGGACTGAGAAGTATGTGTTACCTATCACAAATAAAGTCTTTTTGGATAGGAGCTGAAACTCACCCATTTTTCAGTAAGTATCCACAGGTGAAATGGTCCTGAAAACAGAGGGCCTCAACTTAAGGCCTTGTGGCCACAAAAATAAAAAAATAAAGCTAAGGACGAGCGACAGCAGGGTAGAGTGTTGCGTGCAACAGGCTGGTGACGTGATGATGTTGCTCATGCTTCAGTAAAAGCTGGGGATAATTGCTTTAAAAGGTTCACTTCAAAAACTTTCTCAAAAAGCTTTAGAAACTCACTGTATAAACATTATTTCTGTCTCTAGAGTCTATAGTGGTCCTTCCCAGATGAATGGCTCAGATGGTTTCTTCATTTGTAAAAACTGTCGTATCACCCTGCTATATTTTGTAAGGTAACACAGTAAAAAATGCCATTTGCCAACCTGACAACATCCTAGTAGAGAAACTTTTTGGTTTACAGGAATTTCCTCCATGTTCTGCAGGTGTCCCTGCAAATCGCTCCAGCCCTCTCTGCCAGCGGGTGAGGAGTTAACGTGATGAGCAAGCCAGCGGTGGTAAAGTGAAAATCCCGAGCAGGTTTATTGCGAAGAGGGGGCTGGCGTTTTTGTTAGGAGTGGCCGTGGAAGGAGGGTACCTGATGCAGCATGTCAGATGGCTCCCGCATGGACACTCTGCTGCTGGTGTTCAAATACAGGCCCAGGACTCTGTTTCTACCTCCTGCGTCCCAGTACTGGGGGCGAAACCCAGGTACTGTTCATCAGTTCCTTGAATGTACGAGCGTGCTGGAAGAACAGATCCCATGTCCTGCCAGTAGGCACCGAGTCACGGGAAATGTCACATTCAGTCAGCAGCGAGGCACTGGGGGCTTGCCAGAAGGTTGGATTTGGCTGGTGGGGGGTACGTGGCTGTGCCCAGCCTCCACCGCGAGGGAAGTACAGATTTATGGGCCCAGGCCCCGCGATGCTGTACCGGGAGTATGGGAAAACCCAGAGGCGCAGAGGTAGAGACAACAGCCCTGCGAGTAACGGTGTCTTCAGCTGGGATGTTGTTGCTCAAATCCTGTTTGTGCTGGGGAAAAAGGGGATGGAGGTGTACGCAGATGCAGTGTATCACCTTACATCACGTGTAGTGCAGCAAAACTGAAGGGGGTAATTGGGATTTATCCTGCGCTTGGGATCATCCCTGTTGCTGTTACTGCTCCTTGGCAGAGGCCACTGATAGAACCTGCCTCCAGGCAAGTGCTTTTAAAGGGTTGTTCAGCTTCACCAGTCAAGCTTCTAAGTCTTCTCATCAGGAACCGGCATTAGGACGGCAAATTACTGCTAGAGGACTCTACCCTGCCTGCCATACGGAGCTGCCTGAATCTCTACGCCTTCCGAGATGGTACAGCTCTAAGCGACGTGGCTGCAGCAGAGCGTGCATTCCCTGCGTGTGCCAATGCGTTTAATGCCTGCCTGCCCTCCTCCTACGGCTGCTCAGATGGAGTGGGTGGCACGGGAGAGACCTAGGAACGTGGCTGGGTGGAGTGGAAACCCTTTCCAGGGCAGCTGACCAAGGAGAAAGGATAAACTGTGCCGGGAAGGACGTAGACAAACCCACTTCACGCTGCCTCGGGAGAGGAGTGTTTGCTGGATGAACAGGAGGGGAGGTGGAGGTCCCAGCTGCTGAGAGCCAGCGTGGGCTGAGGATGCTGAAACCACCCGGTCCCTCAGGCTGGCAGGGAGCTCCTTCCGTACCGAGGAGTGGTGCTCGGTCACGCTGCGGCGCTAGAAGCCAAGCTACACGCTGGTAGCGGTGCGGAGGGTTCATGCGAAAAGGGAGCGGTTTGGGGAAAGGGCACGGCGTGGGCGGGGGGTTCCAGCCCTGCCCCACGGGGCTCCTGCAGCCCACCTTGCTCCTCTGCCACGTGCCACCAAGGAAGGCCGCCAGCGCAGCCCCACTTTGGTGATTTTACTGATATCGGAGCAAACTGGAGCTGTTAGTAACTGACCTGTGGGTGCTGTGTTTGTTGCGCCGGTGTTGTCTACCTTGTAGAGCCTTGTTGGTTGTTCAGTTTGACTTACAGATTGTATCCTGAGTGACCTGGTGGTCCTGCAGCTCCCTAGCCAGCCTGTGCTTAGGTGAATCATGGAACGCTTTGGGTTGGAATGGATCTTTAGAGGTCATCTGGCCCAAGCTCCCTGCACTGAGCAGGGACATCTTCAACTAGACCAGATCACTCAGAGCCCTGTCCAACCTGGCCTTGAATTTCCAGGGATGGAGCCTCCACTCCCTCTCTGGGCAATCTGTGCCAGTGTTTCACCACCCTTATTGCAAAAAATTTCTCCCTTATATCTAGTCTAAATCTGCCCTCCCTTAGTTTAAAGCCATTGCTCCTTGTCCTATCACAACAGGCCCTGCTGATAATATTTTCCCCATCTTTCCTATAGGCCCCCTTCAGGTACTGGAAGGCTGCTGTAAGGTCTTCCTGCAGCCTTCTCTTCTCCAGGCTGAACAGCCTCAACTCTCTCAGCCTGTCCCCATAGGAGAGGTGCTCCAGCCCTTGGATCATCTTTGTTGCCGTCCTCTGGACCCACTCCAACAGCTCCATGTCCTTCTTGTGCTGGGGCTCCAGAGGTGGACACAGGACTCCAGGTGAGGTCTCACCAGAGCAGAGCAGAGGGGCAGAATCATCTCCCTTGACCTGCTGGCCACGCTTCTCTTGATGCAGCCCAGGACACGGTTGGCCCCCTGGGCTGTGACCGCACATTGGTGGCTTGTGTCCAGCTTTTCATTCACCAGTACCCCCAAGTCCTTCTCAGCAGGGCTGCTCTCAATCCCTTCATCCCCCAACCTGTATTTATAGTGGGGGTTGCCCCGACTCAGGTGCAGGACCTTGCCCTTGGCCTTGCTGAACCTCATGAGGCTGACACAGGCCCATTTCCCAGCTTATCCAGGTCCCTCTGGCTGGCATCCCGTCCTTCTGGTGTGTCAACTGCAGCTCTCAGCTTGGGGGAGCTCCCTAGCCAGCCTGTGCTTAGGTGAAACAATGAGCTTGGTAAGATCTGATTAACGAAGACTGTTTTGTAAGGACCGAGATTATCAGGCCCTGATAGTGACTGGTTGATTGCCTGTGCCTTATTAACTTTTACTGTTCATTTCGTGCTCAGTGGGTGGATACACCCGTGAAAGTTTAAGCTATTTGTAAATGAACGATGTGTGATCCGAGTGGGAGCGCCGTGGCCTCGCCCCGGCCAGCA